CCCCAAAACCCCAAAACCCCAAAACCCCTCCCAGCTTTCTAACTTAAAAATCTTACTAAAAAAGATGTCATCCAGACCCACCCCTACCAACCCTCTACCCTCCTCCAACGCCCCCACAAGCGCGCTCGCCAGCCCAAGTTCTCCTTCTAATACATCAAGCACTAATTCTCCAGTTGCTCTCAGAACTCGCCGGGCTCTCCAGATGCAAAACCAAAGTCAAAGACGTCAACCTCCCAGAAGAACAAATCAGGATTTGAGAAGTCCTGGTAACCAGCAAAGAGAACTCAGTATAATGCGACAGAATGACCTGAGATCCGATCAGAGGGCTAATACAACCCAGAATTTGGAAACTGGTCACCAAACTAATACTGATGTTGATGAAGAACTAAAAGATCATCAACAGCAAGAGAGCAGTGCAACCGAGGATGAAGGAAGTGGCGAAATAGAGGGTGGAGGCAATGATAGTCAAGAAATTACGAGTAATGCCCAAGATAATCAAGGGAGACAGCATAGATTGAGTAATGAAGAAGAAAAGAAACATGAAGAAGAGATGAAAACCCCTATCACTCGCCGAGACACAAGATCTGCCCATATAGGATCTGAGACTTCAAGGAACAGTCTTTCTACAAGTCCTGCTTTGAATTATATAACTTATGAAGTAACTTATTTCTCTAACCTCATAGCTTGCAGAGTCAAGGAGAAGGTACCTTTTGATCCTTTTGGCATCTAAAATTCCACTGAATATTGTGACCTCTAGAATTATTAACTTTAGTGCTCAGGTCACAAAGGTTGTATCAGCATTAGCTCATTTGAGCTAATCGAATATTCTTCAGTGATTAGTCTTAAAATACCTTTGCAGTAGAATTAAGGGAACGCTTTAACATGGTTTAGACCTCAGCGTCCACCAAGACAAACTTCCTGTAAGTATTTTAGTATTAATAGGCGGTATGAATTTTGCATTTCGTTAGAATCTCACATTGTGTTGTTGAGCCAATATGTATCTGCTTGGGTTTAATTTATCTGAACATAGCTTCTCGAAGAAGGATCAGAAGGAACATTTTTATCGATATTCCAGACACACGAATAAGTAATTATCAAAAATCTTTATGTTTATTGCATGATTCTCGGTTAATTTTATAAGTGAAATTTATTATTAAATCCACTTAATCATTCTGTTCAATAAAATCAACCCCTTTCACTATCATTCAAGCTTATAAACAATTCTCTCTCTTCCACATACATCCCTACCTAATTCTACCCCAAAAAAGCTGCATAATTTACCTCGCTACCAAAAAGCCTGCCAAAACCTTCCAAAACCCCTCTCCACCCATAATCGCTCACCTACCCACAGACCCATCACAGCCCCTTCCAAGTCCTTTACCCATGCAAGAGTACGCACCAGTCACACCTACAATCCAACTTACTCTCCCCACTTGCTTCACAGTTTGTTCTAAAAATTGTAAATTTATGCGACCAAATTGACAGAGAGTTATAGGACTACAGTGCATGAGTTATGAGAGAGTTTGAAGAAGGTAGAGGTGATAGAGAGGAATTTGAAGTGTAAGGTTTTGGATGGGTTTTAGGCGGTTTTTGTGGGGATTGTAGTAATTTTAGCATTTGAGAAAGAGCCATGTTGTATTTGATTAACAAAGACTAAGATTGGTGATACAATTGTAATCCTAACATGCACCCATAAATTCCACTTAAGATGCCTCAAAAATTGGATCAAGCAAAAACCCAAGTGCCCAATCTGCAGAGACTACATAATCCCATTCCATCCATCTCCTAACCACTAATTCTAAACACTTCAACCATTTTTCACTCCTCTGGGGTTTTGGGGTTTTGGGGTTTTGGGG